GTACATTAAGCGGAGATCGATAGCGCAAACAGGGCGGATGAACCGATCGGTTTTCCGATCGGTTCAACCGATCGGAAGCGATCGGAAGACTGGCATCGGTAGAAAATAAGAACCAATCTCATGCCTGTAGTTTTAAAACCTCCACTGACGGAACTGTAATTCTCTTCAAAAAGATCAAATCGGTGTTAAAAAAAGACAATTTTTCCTTGCCGGTATTTTTAAAACCACCAACATTAGATGATTAGGGTTTAAAAAAAGATTGAAACGGTGTATAAAAAGAAACTTTGTCTAACCGGTATTTTTAAAACCACCACTAACGTATTTTTTAAATTTTAAATCGGTGGATAAAAATGTGCATTTTTGCACCCTGCGACCAAAAATCCAATAAAATCCTAAAAATATTTTTTTTACATTTATTCGAATCACAGGTTTGTACTATACATATTATAATTTACAAAACAACAATGTACATTGTACAAGAATAATACTGTACATTTCAATTTTTAATCTTGTTGGAAAGAAATATAGATAAAATAAATCAGGGTTTGAATAAAACATTAAATTAAATTAACAAGAAAGTTAATTTAAAAATGCATGAATTAGACTGAAAAACGTGAATCAGCATCAAAAGGTAAAGCAATTAAAAATGCAACAAAATTAGCCCTCCCCCCCTGACCTCCGGCATTTTTCAAGGAAATGTACACTTAGTACACAAAGAAATAAAAAGTTGTTTAATTAAATTCTATCTATTAGATCAGTTTTGGACAATACTTGAAGGGAAGCAAAAAATGAACGGGGATATAGGCTTAATGCGATAAAAAGCACTTTTGATCACTACTAATCTTATTTCTATTTGTTGCAGCTAAAAGGAGAAAATTATAAAAATCGACTAAAACCGAAGAATGTAGTGTCCATACAAATTCAGAAAGATGCAACATTCAACTCGGATCGTAAACAAATCAATTTAATTCCAAACAAATCATTCAGATATTACAAACAATAGTCATCGATTATTTTTCGACGCATGCGTAAATAGTTGATATTTCACAATATTTTGTATTTTTCATGATATGAGAGTTACTTTTGAAAACATTTATTCCTGTTTCGAGGGTTTTTGATAATGAAGACGATATTTTCATATTTTCCAGGAATGTTTGGAAATCCAGCACCAGCAAAAATTATTTTAAAAAAACAAAATCAAAAATATTATGAAATATTAACTATATACAAATGCGTCGAAAAATAATCGATGACTACCGTTTGTAATATCTGAATGATTTGTTTGGAATTAAATTGATTTGTTTACGATCCGAGTTGAATGTTGCATCTTTCTGAATTTGTATGGACGCTGCGTTCTTTGGTATTAGTCGTTTCTAAAAATTTTCTCCTTATAGACGCAACAGATGGAAGTAAGATTAGTAGCGATCAGACGTTTTTTATTCGCATTAAGCCTATACCCCCTTTCATTTTTCGCGAACACTCCCTTTAAATATATTAGACTTCATGAACTATATTCGGCTATGTTGGACTATATTGGACTATATTTTAATTTAAAGGTTTAAAAATATTTTTTTGTTTATATGGATTATTTCAAGAAATTCTAGAATTGTCAGTTTTCAAGTGATTTTACTTTTCGAAATAGATGGAATAGAATTTAATTAAGAAACCTTATGTTTCCATAACACTCTCGTGTGTACACCCACCCATGTATTTCTTGAGAAAAAATCTTAACCCATTCAAGCACTTGTTTAGGAGGTTTATTTAAATTCATAATAGATTGAGGGAGAAAAAACAATACTGCATATAAAAATAGAGTTATGTAGTAAATCAAACATTATCATAAAGCTCATCTATTAAAATATGTGAAAGTATTATTTTCATCTTCCCCATTAGTATGTGAAAGAAACCTCCTATAACACTTGCCTTTAATACAGATGAATATAACCAAATGATGCGGATTCCTGAATCATCGTCGTCCTTCTTGTCATCATCGTCGTCCTTCTTGTCATCAATATCTTCCTTCGCCTTCTTACATCTCATCTCTTTTCTCTTTTCAACCGTGTTAACTCTATCTTTAGCCCTGGAAAAGAATGCAAGATTAATTAAAATTTTGATTTCTCAAGAAGGAAGAAATCAAAAAAGATGCAATTAATGCATGTTTTATAATTGTAGTGTGTACATTGTTTTTTTTTTTTTATAAGCAAATAATATAAAAATAAAACTTACCACCAGAAGAACTGTTTTAGTGCCTTATTAAAGGCAGCTAATTCTCCCAGGGACCAGGGACCAGGGACCCGTCAGTATAGCACCCCTTCATCATGTTCACAAGAGCTGCATGTTGAGACAGAAACTGAAATTTTATTAATTAATTTATTTATTTATTTTAAGAAAATTGCTGCGGTTATTCCTGGCCACAGGCAGTCCCACCTCTCTGCACTTCCCCATATTTATGACTTCAGCTCATATGTGGCTATAAAGTTTAAAAACACCAACATAAAATGTTTGAAATTGATACAACTTATTTTGTTTACACCCATTCAGTGAATAAACCCATTAACTGAACAAACACACATAAAGTGCAGGATGGATAAATTATAAATATATATAGCAACTCCTGATTTTGTAATACAGGGTGTCCCACGAAACATGACAATAGCAAGACGACTTGAAAGTCGTCTTTGATATTTTAATTTTATGATTATTATCTCAAGAAATTTACTTCTAAAATTAGGTTGACAAATAAATGCAGCAAATTACATCAAAAATCAAGACGACATTCAAGTTGTCTTGCATAATGTCATGTTTCGTGCGACACCCTGTATTTTAAATTATCATTTCAAAATTATCATTATTTTCATAATTTTAAGCTCAAAATTACCATGACCCAATAATAAGAACATAAAAACTGTAATGCGCTTGTACCACCTTAATTAATAAGTGAACTTACTGCAAAGTCTAGTCCAGACCAGAATTTAAATCCAGCGATAGCCTGGAGAAACTTGCTCGGGCTGTGGAAGGCTTTCATGTAATTCTGAAGCTGACTGGATCCAGACTAGAATAAATAAGTTAAGTAAATATATGTACTGTTTATTATGTTAAGTGTACAGTGTTTAGTGTAAGTGTACAGTGTTTAGTGTAAGTGTACCTTGTTTAGTGTAAGTGTACCGTGTTTAGTGTAAGTGTACTGTGTTTAGTGTAAGTGTACCTTGTTTAGTGTAAGTTTCAGATCTTCTTTTTCGTTGACTTCAGGGAATTCTATAGCAGATTCTGGAATAATTAAAAATGTGTTACAAGATAAAATGTTAGATGAACAATTTAAAAATTGATAAAGTAATAATAAGTGTAGGGAAAATTAATAAATGATGATGTTAAATTCAAGGATAAAGTATGTCTTCTGAGCTGGGAACTTTAGAATGGTGGAATATCAGGATTAATGCTTAATCATTTGCTAATCTCGATACTAACATAACCTCGAGATTATGTTAAGTCACAGATTTAATATTTAGATCAACAATAATTTAACAAATTTAGAGTTTAAATTCTATTTTTAGGCGTCAACTATACCTATGGACTGAGGTTGGTCAATTTTGGCTAATGCCGCACCAACAGCCACAGTAACATCCTCCCTCAAATCCTGTCTCAACTTCTCCACCACCTTCTCAACCTATTCCCTCACTGCCAACCTCACTTCCTTAAATTAGTAAAACTTAAAACTGTAAAAAAAATTGTAAGATATGCAGATTCACAAATCTGGTTCTTAGGGGAATATTAAAACATTTCCAATATTAGTTTCAGCATCAAAAAAGCGAAAAAAGTTAACAAAAAACCCGTTTAATCAAGAAATGTGCATGACCTGGATCCGCGTGGATCCTTATCAAAATGGAGTAAAGTAACTTAAAGACTTTGTCCAGTTATATTTAACTTTCAAATTCCCGATATTACAATTAATAACAGATTGAAGAAAATTTGTTGTTTTACCTGGGCCTGCCAGTTCAGAAAACTTGAGTAGTCTTCAACTTCATGGGAATCCTGAACTCCAGCTCTGTTTTTCTGATGATGGTAATCCTGAACTCCAGCTCTCATCTGAGGGTAATCCTGAACTCCAGCTCTCATCTGAGGGTAATCCTGAACTCCAGCTCTCATCTGATGGTAATCCTGAATAATTATTAACGATAGTGGATGGTTATGAGCGCTTCAAGAGACGCATTCAAAGGGCTTCCGAGGAAGCTATTTTGCGTAGACTATCTACTCATTTTACCTTTCAACTCTCTGATTTATTAGTCAAATTACAAGCCTTAAAGAAAAAAGCTGAAAGGCGTGACCGTCGGGAGTTAAATAACGTGCGAACTAGGTCCTCCACTACCACTAATGATTCAGAGGACGAGGATGACAATGTTTTTAGTCAGGTTCAAACGTTACCTGAACTAATGTCTATGTTTCATGTATTACACTGCAGGAGTAGGGTATAGTTACTTGAACTAATGTCTATGTACAAGTATCAGATACAAAGAACGGTTACTGAGATGGAATCTAGGTAATAAAACGGATTTCTTTTAGACTACGAGTTTTGGTTTTATTTACCGATTCGCGCTTAACAATCAAATATATGGTTTCCGGGCACACTACCGTACCCAACCTCTCCTTGTATCTTTTTTTTCTTAGAGTTTGCGTTATTGACCATGGAATAGAATGGTTTAAATTTTACGATTACATTCTAAGAGTTCGTGTCATTAACCATCACATAACTCAAGTAATAAGGACTCATTAACTACTCAATAGATCTTCTTAAGTTTGCCAGTATTTGCATTCTTTAAATGATAGAACTTCTGTTGAAACATTAATCCTATATTTATCTAGTTTTCTTTCCGAGTTCGCGTCATTGACCATGGATTAGAGTGGTTTTAACCTCACAAGTTACATTCTATAAGCCGTGTCATTAACCATTTTACAACTCAATTAATGAAAGATTCCTTTAAATGTTCTACAGAATTTCTTAGGTTTGCTAGCATTTGCATTCCTTAAATGATAGACTTTCTGTTGAATTTTGCTCCTTTAATTATGTGTGTATTTCTCCGAGTTGCGTCACAGAATGGAATAGTTTTTTAGCCTTACAGCTACAATTTTAGAATTCGAGACATTAACCTTCACACAACTCGATCAATAAAGAAAAAAAAATTCGATCGGTTTTTTTTTACAGATTTTCTTAGGTTTGCCAGTATTTGCATCCCTTAACCAAGTAAAAAGAAAATTCCTGTAAACCTTATCTTTTGTTGCGCCGCCATTTTCTCTCTGAAATCATGAAAATCTCTTATTTTTCAAGGTTTGCTAGTAATTGCAGATATTGATTAAAAGGGCGTATTTCTAAATTATAGTTATTTTATCTATATCATTCATAACAATTATCTCAGAGCTCGAACCAAGGAACTATCACAATTCAGTATCTTGATCTCAACCTTTATATCTTTGAAGTCTCTTATTTTTCCCAGTCTTGCTAGAATTTGCAAAACAATGAATTTAAGTGTTTTATAGAGGAGACATCTAATTAACAAGGACTTCTTATTCCAATTTATTATGCCTGTCGGCGGGGATCCCACATCGGGATCGCGAACACGATCCATATCTGAATCCGAAGCAGATCGGATTTCGTCCGCGGTCCTGCTATTGGACCCTTGTTTAAGCTCTGAGATACAGAATCAATCTCCAATCTTAGGTCGGAGTCTTACTCTTGAGTTAAGTAGATCAAATCCAAACATTTCCCCCCCAGGTAGTGGATTAATGGAGACACCAATTGGTGTAGGACTAGGTACTCGTCTCCAAACTCGCAACAATCCGCGATTACTATTGCAGCAGGAAAAGGCTGAGAAAATCTGTAAAGATTTAATCAAAGATGTCGAAGTCTGGATAATAGCTTAATTAAATTTTTCAAAATGATTCATTCTTTTTAAATTTTCTTATTTGTCCCCCAAATCGTAATCTAGACCCATTGACGCGGTCTAATTTTGTGTGGGACACCCTGTTTATAAATTTCATTTTATAAATGTTTTATAAAGAATTTAAGGTAATTTCCTAAAGAACGATTTTTGGACCCCCCCCCTTCCACCCTTCCTATAATTTTGTACATGGATCTTAAATGTTAGAATAGGATATAATTGACCAAGTGGCTGCAGCGCCCGGCCCCCTAGTATTTCATAACCGTGGCGCTCGGCCCCTAGTTTTTCCTTGCCACAGCGATCGGCCCATAGAGTGTATTCACCTAACCCTTAATATATTTAGGGGGCGGGGGGTCCTAAAATCGTTCTCTAGGACGGACCGGAATTATTTCAGAATAATAAAAACTTGAGTCCGGTTATAGTATACAATCAGGGATAATATTCAATATCGGAACGAAGATCCAACTGCTGCTCAACCTATCCAACTTGACTCAGAACCAGATAAACCTACATCAGCTCCAGCAAGATCTCCTATATCCAGGTCTCTTGATGATATAATTAGTATAGTTAAAAATTCTCATCAGGGAGAACCTTTTAATTATAAGGACACTAATATCAGAATTAGATCTTTGGAGGATTCCTTAAAATCAATATCCAATTTATGCACAAATATTTCTCAAAAACTTGATATAGTTACTGATAATTCATCCACAAATAGTAACAGGTTGTTGAACCTAGAAAGCAGGGTGGATGAATTAGATCGCAATACTAAATTGTACATTGATGCAAAATTAAATTCAGTTGTTAATCAGATTCCCAAAACTTCCAATGAGCTTACCCACTCCTCGGATTTACGTATTGAAACCCTGAAGAAGGAAGTTAGATCCTTGAAACGTAAACAACTATCTGATGAGCATGCCATCTCCCTCATCTCTGAAACCATCGCCAACGTTAAGGACCAAGTTGACTCAAGCTTAGATGAATCCAGATCTTTCTCCAACAACACCACTCAGTTCTCCAGGACAAGGATAAATAGAGATAACGAGCGTAACTTAATGCATGATTCAATTGAGAGTATAGCCAAATTGATCCGTCAATTAATTGCCGGTAAAGTTTCTATCCATTCCGAATTGAGTATTATTAGAAAAAGTAATGATGATATAAAAAAGGTCACTGCATATATAAAAACTTGTCAAGACTCCCTTATGAAATATGTAACCTTTGATAACTTTGATAATAATCTTGTGTCGTCTGTAAAGGCACTTTTAGACCAAGCAAATGATTGGATTCTACATGTAGAGATTATTTACTCCAATTCTGAAGCCCACGCGGTTAGTAATTCAAAGGGAGATATTTCTAATGCTGGTATCTTCACAGATAATGCCGAAAAAACCGTATATGAATTTCTAGATGAAATTGAGATAGGACTGCTTGGATGGGGTACCTCTAAACAGAGAGCCGCTCAACTCTACAACCGACACCTCTCTGAAGACATCAAATCCAGGACTCTTGATTGTTCAGATAATTTCACTGACATAAAAAGATGGTTAATTAAAGAGTTTGGGAGTCCAAGCCGTATCATTGGGGATGTAATTGCTGATCTGAGGTCCAAATCTAAGCCCATTATTGAGGATGTTAAATCTAGGTATAATTTTTACTCCCATCTTGGAAAAGCTATAGCCAGATTAGACAAGTTGATCAGAGTCCCTTCGATTGATATTAATGATCTGGAGTCCGCTTTATATTCTAGAAGTACCTTGAATGATCTTATTAATATCCTTCCCACTAATGACCTTAATCAATTGAGAAGACAGATGGTCAAAAGAAAATTAGATTGGAAAAACCCTACTGGAATTGTGTATTTTGCATTTCTGAAAGAATTTATAGATACAGAGTGGGATTTATTAGGTCCGTATAAGGATATTGGGAATAATACTAAGTTGAAATCCATTCATTTTACTGATTCCTCTCTGCAAAGCACTTTCAATGTCAATATTCCCCCACCTTCATTGCCTAAAGTTAGGAAACCTTGGTACCAACCTGGTTTAAGATTCCCTTGCCCCCTCAAACGACACAATCATGAGATGAGTGATTGCAAGGAGTTCTTAGCTATGCATCCCAAAGACAGATGGGAGGAGTTAGACAGGTTCAAGATTTGTCTCACATGTCTCCGACCCGGTGACGTCTGCCCAACTAGACCCTGCACTCACTACACTTCAGTACCTGAGAACCTCATCTGCCAACCCTGCGGTGTACAAGCCGAATCAAGAACCCCACCATTAAGTCCTCTCAACATTCTGTTGTGCCGCAAGAAAGCTCATGCGTCATCCCGTGCTCCACCTGATCAGATCCATCAGCAGTTCTCCAAGTACTTCGGCTGCTCAGAACTCATACCTCAGGATATTCATATACAATTTTCAGTTAATTTTATGTATCAGGCTTACTCATTGAATAATGCAGAGCATTTAACTCAGCAGAAGCTCGATTTAATTGACCCCCCCCCCCCTGTAATACATTCTCAGACTGGAGAAAAAATTACAGATGCAAACATTAAGATTATTCCCGAGATAACTGAGCATGCTATGTATTTAATGCAAACTTTAAAAATCGGAAATAGCGAGGTTTTAGCATTTTTTGACAGTGGTGCAAATGTTAATCTAATTGACGGGGATTTAGCCAGCCGTGAAAATCTTTTATGCATCTCAGAAAAACCTAGCGCGTTGTCGGTGGTGGGAGGAAGCCAAATTAAAACCGAATACGGCCAATATAAATTCAGTCTAGGACCAACCCCTGAGAATGAATTTCATACTTTAACTTGCCTAGGTATGGATTCCGTCACAAGTAATTTTGCAAAGTATAATCTCGCTGAAATAACCCAAGAATTCAGGTCTAAAGCTAGTAAAATTGATAGAAATTCCCCCCTCCCTTCATATGCTGCAGGTTCAACTGTCAAATTATTAATTGGAATTAAAAATAATAAGCTTGATCCCACTCTTATTGAAATCCTACCGTCAGGTATAGGAGTGTACAAGTCCCCTTTTGTTGATATTTTTGGCTCTAATATTATCTTTGCTGGACCGCATGCTGCATTCACCAGGGGAAATGAGCACCTGGAGTCCCACCTCAGCCAAACCATCTTCAAATTAAGAGCACTAACTGAAGAACACATTCAACCTTCAACAATCCTTCCTATCAGAATAACTGCAAGCAAGACTGAGAGCATTCACTTCTACTCAACTCCTCTCTCGGACCAGGATATTATGGAAGCTGGTGGATACATTGAACCTGAAGAAAGACTAGAGAGCCGGATTGAACAACTTATTTTGGATCGTAAAACTCCAGGTAGACAATGGAACCAGTGCAGTATTCATGCAGCAAGGATTCCGATCTCTAAGATTCGAGAATTGGTGGATCAAGATGACGTTGAACAATTAGTAACCTACAGGTGTGAACAATGCTCGAAGTGTGAGGAATGCAAAAGAACTCCAAGGATAACGGCAATATCCCTACAAGAAGCACGTGAACAGAAGATAATTGAAGACAGTGTTAAAATTGATTTTGCAAATAAGAGAGTTGAAGTTATTCTTCCATTTCTCAAGAACCCAAACACGTTCCTAGCTGATAAACATCAAGGTTCAAGCAACAGGAAACAAGCAAGGAGAATATACATGTCCCAATGCAAGAAGAGTGATTTAGACAAGGCTGGTACAAGACTGACTCATGCAGATCTTATTGATCGAGGTTTTATGGTTAAGTTAGTGGATATGCCCACAGACTGCCAAAAACTTGTGAGTGATTCTCCATTCAACCATTATTATCCTTGGTTTATTGTCTCCAAGGATGACTCCATCAGCACGCCGAGGAGAATTGTAGTTGATCCCTCCTGCACAGGCCTGAATCAAATACTTCCTAAAGGTGAAAACAGGATTGGAACTATCCCAGATATCATCATCAGAAATCGAACAAAACCTATAGGATGGGCATCAGATATCAGTAAAATGTACAACCAGCTCCGATTAGACAGATCAGCTTATCCTTTCTCCCTCTTTCTGTATCATGATTCTCTCAGCACAAGCATTGAGCCAGACACGTACGTAATGGTCAGAGCCTGGTATGGAGTAGTACAGACCGGACAACAAGCAGGTTATGCACTGGATCATCTCGCTGAATTAGGAAAGCTCGAGTTTCCATTGGCTCCTGATTGTATAGCTAGAGACCGATACGTTGATGACATTCTGCCCGGAGCTGATTCTATCCAAGAGGTCGAGGAACAAATTTCCCAAGTGAGGCAATTATTATCCAGAGCTGGTTTCTCTTTGAAATATGTAATCAAGACTGGTGAGACTCCTGATGAAACTTCCAGTTCAGATGGGTCAACAATCAAGATGCTCGGTTACAAATGGAATACCTGCGAAGATTCTCTTCATCCTGGAATTTCAGAACTAAACGTAAACAAAAAAATACGCGGAGTACAACAACCCAATTCCAACCCTGTTGAAACTGAATCAGATGCTGAAATTATTCTCAGATCTGCCTCTCTAACCCGACGTATTGTCATCTCTAAAATTGCTGAGTTTTTTGATCCTGTTGGTTTGTGGGAGCCTTTGAAGCTACAGCTCAAATTGCATTCAGCTAGATTAAATAGTCTCCCATGGGACCAGAAACTATCTTCAGAGGAGGAAAAGTTCTGGAAAATCAAATTGATCCAATTTGTAAGATTTAAAGAGTTGTCTGCACCTAGGTGTACTACCCCCCCAGATTCAAAGTCCTTCTCAGGCATCAGGTTGATCTGTTTGAGTGATGCAGCTGCTTCAGCTGGGGGTGCAGTGGTGTATGCTGGCAGAAAGCTTCAGGATGGCTCCTGGTCTTGCAGTCTATTGTCATCCAGATCACGCTTAATGAGTGCAACTATACCAAGGAATGAATTGTCTGCAATCCTTATGATGGCTGAATTGGCATTTATTGTAAAAAAGTCCCTGGGATCCAGAATAGACAGGATTATCTATTTAACAGATTCCACCATCGCTATGAGCTGGATGAAGAACACCAACATAAAACTGCGTGCTTACACATTTGCAAGAGTCGAGGCATCACGAAGATTGATCCAGATGACCACAGGAGAGGATCATATTCCACTATTCCACATTGATGGTTCCAGAAACATTGCCGATCTCCTGACTAAACCTCATGAAATCTCTATCGAAGATCTTTCAACAGGTTCCCTATGGCAGACGGGGCATTCCTGGATGCATCTGGATGAAACTCAGATGAACCTGAATAAGTATGAAGACCTCAAGATCGATAATCAGTCTGGCTCTGAGATTATCACTGAGTGTTTTTCTGAACCATTCATACCTGACAATCAAGAAGGAAAGTACAGCACACATGGGGTGATCCTGCAGCATTTTCTCAGCAAGTGTTTTGATGAAGTTCCTGATCCGGACTTAGATCTGGACATAGAGGACTATCAAGACTCATCACATTCTCAGGAAAATGATTCAGGAAATTTTGTCCATACTATCAAAAATAACCCTTTCTCCTCCCCCCCCCCCCCCATTGATATGATAAGATATGGTTGGGAAAAGGGACTATCAGTCTTGAATAATGTTTTTTGGTTTTGTCAAATTTGTTTACATAGACTGCAAAAGTGCAAGATCGCTACCCTCACTTGCCCTATATGCAAAGGAAAAATTGATTCAAGGGATAATAGAGATCTTTCAAAAATGGCTTTATACAGACATGAAACTTTATTGATAAAAAATATTATCCAAAAACATCGGTTGACAAAATACTTTGAGCAAGATGGTATCTTAAAATTCCAGGGGAGATTTTCCAGGGATAATCCAGTAAAGTTCATAAACCTTGATAATATTCCATTTTTGGATTCTAACTTAATCACCGATCCTATCCCAGTTGTAAGAGGAAACTCACCCTTGTTGTACTCCTACATCATTGAGATTCACTGCAATCGAGTTCCCCATGCAGGAGTTGAATCCACTGTCAGAGAAGTTCTCAAGGAGATGATCCCAATACAAGGACTTAGAAATTTAATTAAAAAAATTAAATCCGATTGTTTAAAATGTCGTTTGTTAGAGAGAAAGGCAATTGAGCTTCAAATGTCCCAGCACCCTAGTTCAAGGACTATAATTGCCCCCCCCTTTTTTCACATGATGATTGACATTGCATTTGGTTTTAAAGGCCAAACGTTCAAGAAATCCAGAACGACCTTAAAATTCTATGCTCTTGTTGGAGTTTGTATTTTAACCGGCGCTACTAGTATTTTATTATTAGAAGGATTACAGACTCAAGACGTAATATTAGCTCTGGAGAGGCATTCCAGTCGTCATGGGGTCCCATCTGAAGTTTTCGTTGATAATGGAAACCAATTGATGGCATTGAAGGACGCTGAATTTTCAATCAGGGACATCGATGCAGAATTGTACAGATCTATGGGAATCCGGGTCCACGATTCTACAGCAAAGAGTCATGAGGAAAGAGGACGGGTAGAACGAAAGATCAGATCAATTAGAGAGTTATTGGAGAGAACCGGGGTCAAATCTACACATCCTATGACCAGTATCCAGTGGGAAACAACCTTTGCAAAGGTTGCATCAGCTCTGAATGACCTTCCTTTGGCCCATGGGGACACCTCACACACAAATAATCTAGGATTTGAAATATTAACCCCTAATCGTTTACTTATTGGCAGGAATAATTTTCGTTCTTTAGAAGGCGTTGGTATTGATCTAATTAATTCTCAGATTCCGACAGAAATATTGGATAGAAATAAGGAAATTACTGCATTCTGGTATCAAGAGTTTCTTGACAACATACATATGTTGATGCTTAAACCATCCAAGTTTTTAGTTAGTTCGGATCCTCCTACTGAACATAGCATAGTTTTATTCACTCTTTTGGATGGATTATATTCAAAAGAGCAAATTGTTTGGAAACTTGGAAAGGTAATTGAAGTAGATAGCAGACGGGTAAAAATCAGTTATATATCTAGGATTCCAAAGATTGGAAGTCCTATCAAATCTGAAGTTTACAGAAATTTTCGAGAGATTAGTCTAATTTACTCAGTTGATGATATTTTTATCAATACTAGAGAGCATTTTTGTAATGCTAGTAGGGATTATGATATTCCCCTTAAAGATACCGGCCTAAAACCTTAGATAAAATGGAGGAGGGCTTGGTTGGGATGAAAACTCCAGAATTTGAGTCTGAATTCCCAACTCCTTCTCCATACTTGTCAAGAACTTTCAGTTTTAAGACCCCCCCCCCCCTATTCATATCTTTTATCTACGTATAATCACCTTATCCAAGTTTCCGATGTACATTTTGTATAATACCTCCAGTATTAATTATTCTTTGTCTAGAATACCCACTGAGCAAGATATCAAGAGGAGGATGCAGTTACCAATCAAGTACACAAGTACCGGAGACCTGAGGATCATAGCAGAGCAGATAATGACTCGGGCAAGATCTGCTCCAGCAGTAGAGAAGGACTCCATTCTTGTACCCAGGACAAATATAAACATGTGGGGAAAAAATCGTCCTTATTCCAAAGCAAATTTAATGAATAAATTCTGCGGATATGAGCCAGTTATCAACAGGGGGAGAGATGAGAGATGCATGTCAGATTATCTTCAAGTCTCTGAGAGAGGTGGTATGCAGAACCCTCAATTGGAGACTCTTCATAATCTACTCCCAGCTGGTGCTCCACTATTAGATTTCCTCAGCTGCACCATGGAAAGACCTGATGATTGGAACCTACCAGGTAGAGCAGAGGTTGATTTCTGGTCCTACAATAGAGGTATAACCAAGGAGATTCTAAATCAAGTTGAGGTTCGGGAGATCGTTGTAGGTTTGTCCACAGATGAAGAAATTGAGGAGATCACATCTTGGTTTTGGGATAAATATGCCATTGACCAGAAGATCCTCCCAACCAATGTTGTGAGCATGGACGTGGAAGAAATCAAAGTTACCTTATATGATACTCTCCGCATTGCAGGACGGATACCTTTCAAGAAAGGACAATTGATGTCAAGGAAGGAAGAACCACAGATCCATGGACAGCCTGAGGATAGATTGCAGCAGTTACCTGTAAAAGTGATGATTGGTAATGGTCTTAACCACGCCCTTATGGTTAGCCTGGATTTGTTCCGGGATTCCAAAGGGCGTTATGTATTAAATAAGATTAAAGCTCCGGATTCAGTTATTAAGTTTTTCTCCCTACTACCTATCTGTACTGGAGTGGCCGTTAAACATGATGTTGAAGGAGTACTCAAGTTCTACAGCCTGATTACTGATCTAGACGTCACAATGAAGGGTTTTATTGAAGTTTCTTCTATTGCTCTAGTAGCTGGGTATGCACTGCAGGCAAGAAATATGAATGCTCTAGCCATGCAAGTTCTTGGTATAGTGATGAATAAAATGTGTTCGACCGCGGATAATCTCTGGGGACTTAGATGGTCTGATATACCTGACTCCCTGAAGGTTTACGCAATCGGTGACTTAAAGGTTGGTCATCTTGCATATTCAATCATTTCTTCCATCATCATGAGGGATTATATTCCGGATCCTGAGATATTCATGTTTTACACAGGCAAGTTTGACCAATGGCTGACTGCAAACTGGTTTTTAAACCTTCTGGCTACCACCCTGGAGGGTACTGAGATTCATGATAAGTCCTTCAAATATGCAGTCTCCAGGTCAGATCTAGTCAAGTGTTTGAGGTTTAGATATTCTGAAGATTCAGCTCTCATGGACGAATCCCCTATCAGAGTTCTCATGTGGGACAAGACTCGTGGAGAATGGCCATCCCTAACGAAAGGAGGTTGTAGGTATCTCCACCAATGCAGATCATGGTTTGTTGAGATGGCAAGAATCTGGACCAGACAAGGTTTGAGATGGGATGATGGTATAAAGATGCCATCAGTGACCGGGGAGATTATGCATCACGCCACGTTTAAAATATCACCTGTTCAGATTGCTAATTGCAACTTCAGGGATGCAACTCACCACTCTTCTGGCCTGAACAGACCCGGATCCTTGAAGGTAAAGAAGCTGGAGTTGGATCCATCAACAGTGAAGAGCTTTTCTACAGGCAAACACTGTAAGAAGGTGAACCGTGAGCAAGTTCCTGTGATACTGGAATGGGCCAGAGAAAATCCTACTCTGATTGCTGGATTTTTGAGAAGGATGGGCTCCGATATACAGTTCCAGAAGTTTTACCGGCACCTGTACGATCCGTTGAGACACTGCTACAGAAGGATATTTAACTGTGAGGCGCTTACAGTCATCTTCATGGAAGGCGTGCTGCTCAAAACCTTGAGGTATAAACACAAGGAGGAGGTGGATGTCACTGCAAGGTTGGTTGAGGAGCTGAGAGTTCGCCGGAATCGGATATCCTACTTAGAAGAAATGATTGAGATGAACGATGATAGCCTAAGAGCAAGATGGTCTGAAGATCTCCCATCTCTTCCTGATTGGGTGATTGCGAGACAGAAAAAGGTGAAAGCCCAGAAGAGACCCTGTCCTAGCTCCAACCCGGAGCAAGTGTTAAAGAAAGTGAAACTCTCCGCAGATCCTCCTCAGGAAGTTGAGACTCTGGAGCCTGAACAGGTTCACGTGGAGTCTCAGTCCGAGGAGGATGAAGAGGTAGTTGTAGAAATAGATGAGGGCGAGGTAGAAGATGATGCTCCTATAATTCCTGAGATTAGGAGCCAGCCAACAGTCCAGGATGAGCTAGATGTTTCTGCTCCCATGAAGAACAAGTGCATTTCTCTCAAAAAGAAGGGGAAGAAAAAGAAGAAGGGTTCGTCCTCAAAAACCCTCACCTATGATGAGATGATCGAGTATCAGAGGGTTTCAGTTTTCTCTGATGATGATTTCACACTGGAGACAGATTTTAAGGAAACCTTCTAAAGTATTTTTTAGATTCAATGCTCAGCTGTCTTTATATATTTATATACAGTTCCTAATAATGTTTTGTACTTTTTTTTAATTTTTCGCCAAGCAGAATTTAATTATAGATTGCGGTTGCATTTTTTGTGCATCCATATTTTTCATATATATATTAATAAAGTTAAATCAATCCGAGATTAAAACTATAAATTGCGGCTGTGATTCTCCTGCCATATGTAATATGATCTCCTTAGTCTCAATAACAATTATTGTAAGTACAGTGGTACAAGATTAAAAATTTTCTGGATCCTATTGTTTTTGTTATATGTTTTGAAAATCGTATCCTAATAAATGTTGAAATTGTTATTAAATATGTTCAATTCCTCAAACAAAAACAATTTTTTGGGTAAAACTCCTTATTATTTGCACTTAGGTCTTTCGATTATGTTTCGAAATATTTCCCCCGCGGGAGTGTTACGCGTACTTTTAAGGGTTTTCGAAAATAAACGAAAGTTACTCTTTTTTAGAAGGACTCACTGTATCTATCCTGTTGTAACTCTCCTATTGGTTGGAAATAGTTCCACCATGAGAGCGAGTCTGCTATTGGTCAGTTGGGACCGAGATTTACCTGAGAAACAAAGCCCGACTCATTCAGTATATAGAGCTCGAGCTGTCAACAATAGTAATTCAGTTCTAAGATCGAGTCGTTTCTCAGGTTTATCTTTTCAGATTCTTGTAATGGCTTGAACGGATTAGTTTCCTTTTTATTTTGTTCCATCTATCAGGAGCCAGCATATGTAAGTATGACGACCTTCTATTGAGTATATTTTTCGAATTTCCCGGTTGCGCAGTAAAAGGAGTATGCCCCGTAATATTTTATAAACCACGTTAGAGTCTGAGACGTTTTGGGATCCTCAGTTTGATTATTTATAGTTAGTTAGTTTTGTCAAAGTTTAACCCTTATATTATTTTTATTATGCAGATTTGATCTACAGAAACGTGTTTCCAGACAGCAAAGAATGGTTTAAACTTTTATATGGTTGCATACTTCAAGTCTGGACGCGGGATACAAAGAACGGTTACTGAGATGGAATCTAGGTAATAAAACGGATTTCTTTTAGACTACGAGTTTTGGTTTTATTTACCGATTCGCGCTTAACAGCCCTGTATAATTATAATTAATTTCCAAATCATTAAATTTCAAAACTTTGCGTGAGGCCAAAACCACTTCTCTTTATTTTTCAGAGTATAATTAGCTTGGTATATCCCTAAAAATATTTTTACATATATATATAACAGAAAACTTGTTAAGTTAACTTAAAATACATTGTGATGGCATGTACGTGCTCCTCCTTTGAAAGATGGTTAAAAACTGGCCATGACAGGACAAAAAGAGCGCGATTGACTGCGGGCCCTCCTTTTTTTCATCCTTTATAATTTCACATCGGATGAAGCTGTTTGTCTTTTCAACCTCAAAACTCATCAAACGGACTGATAAATTAGTTTTGATCCGACAACGGAGTCATGCTCCGACTCGAAGACAATTGCGGACTAAAAAAAGACGGCTTTTTATCATCCGATGACGGAGCTCCACAAAAAGACATTTTCGGATGAAAAAAAGAATTCCGACATCTGTAGAAAACAAGAAAACGGTGGAAAGTAAAAATTATTTTCTAGCTGGGAATTAACAATTTTTGGACCCCCTAAGGCCCACACACCTCCTATCAATTTTGTAAATGACCAAATTTGTATTTATTTATCATTATTTAGGGTTAAGTTAGGTTAATACACTTTCTGGGTTGATAAGATCCATGTCCAAAACTGATAGGAGGGTCCAAAAATTGGTTTCTAGGAATATACCAAGGATTGGTCCCAGGTTTTGTGTGGGAAGCATCCTAAAAGACAAATCTTTTCAAATATGACATACCTGAAAGTCCAAAGACAATGTTTACATGTGAGATCCGTCTGATAAATTTGTCGCCTGTTACTTTTTTCTCCATAGAAAGAGGTATGAAACGATCTGTCACTTGGAATTTTTAACTGAAAACATCCAATATTTTGAAAATTCACTGAAATATTAATTCTCCCCTGGCCCTAAGTTCAAACATGATTGTTTGTTTTTTAAATTTAAAATTTGACAATAATACAATTACAATTGATTGCACTTTACTCGTCTTTAAATGCAATGTCGTCTTTATTATGGACTTGGCGTTATTTTCCCCTTAAGATTGTAATAATCTCAAAAATGTAGACACCTACCTATTTTTAAAAATTAAATGTTTAAAATTTACGTTGTATTTATATAAAAGATATAAATATTATTCTTGCAAATGACAGCAGAGAAAAAATGAACTAGTAGACTTGCATTGAACAGATACAAACTGAACGGTTCAGGTATAACTGAAGAAACTTTTCGTTTGTCAGGTTGAACTTAATCTGTTACACCCCCCCCCCATCCCATGGTATTGGTTGAACGGTCAATGTGTACCTGGATCTAATCTGCCCATAAACCACATAGCTGCATGTTCATTTCAATGTGTACCTGCACATAAACCATATAGCTGCAGGTTTATTCCTTTAAATGAGAGGGGGGGGGGCTTCAGGAGTTGAGATGAAAAGAAAAAAACACAACTGGAGTTGAGAAATCTAAAACATGTTTTGATTTTAAAATCGCCAAACTTGGTCTTTTGTTATAAAATCTGTGTTTTTGACTTTNTTAAATAAAGTCCTCTTACCTTAGTAAAGTCTACTAATAGCTTCTATATTAATGGTCAATGTGTACCTGCACATAAACCATATATAGCTGCAGGTTTATTTCTTTAAATGAGAGGGGGGAGGGCCTTCAGGAGTTGAGAAATCTAAAACTTGATTTTTCAATTCTCAAAACCTCCTTGATATAACTTTGTTGTTCTTCACTTTTATCTCCCATGAAAAGATAAAAAAGGCATGGTTTTAATTTTGAAGATGCATGTCACATGTAAATTGTCAATTTATAAAATCTAAAGAACCTACCAAAAATTGACAATTTTTGCTTTCAACTTGACATTTTTGACTTTTTTATTAATTGTTTTTTTGAATAAAACACAGCTCTGGAGTAAAAATGTTGACTTTTATGACATCGTTTGGAGCCATATCTCTTGCTTTTGGGTTAAAATATAGATTTAAACACCGAAATTTGAGCAACCAATCATCTGACGGCAGAATTACTGTTATTCACAGAAAGCCCTTAGAGTACTCTACAACTTTGCTGTTTTAATCTCCCATGAAAAGAAAAAGAACGGCATCGTTTTTTTCAATTTTTTTTTTGAATAATACTCAGCTGGAGTTGAGAAATCTAAACATGTTTTGATTTTAAAATTGGTCAAAAGCGCAACAAGTAACAGCCTCCGACCTCTAAAACTGTAGGAGGACGCTGTGTTAGAGATAGAAGTCTAAAACTTTTTGCAGTGACTTATTTACACATTGGCTATAATTTTGTACTTTCATAACTTTTTGATTAGAGGTAGTCTTTATGCCGTAAATCTTGTTTCAAAATTCTTACTTTTTTGAAAAAACGGTGGCCAATTACTCGGCCACCAATCAATTTAGAGGTCCAATTTTTTTGGTGTAAGTAGATATTACCTCCTTCTACAACTTTGTTTTTTTTACTTTTCTCTCAGAGCCCTTAAAATATAAATTACAAATCATAACCTAACATAACCTAACTCAATCAATCAATCACGCACCTAAAATTTTGGTTAACATTTTTTTTTCAAATATTTTCTAAATACTATGAAACGTTAAAAAAAGTGAAAAAATCACTTTTAAAAATTTTTTTTCAACGGCCAAATTTTCGGCCACTGTTTGTCTGACAGCCAAAAATGGAAAATGGAAAGCCCTTAATGTCCTTAACAACTTTTGTTCCCATGGTTTCAACTTCAGACCACTCTAAATTGTTTCTGAATACCTTTTATAAATTTGTTAAAATTGAAGCTATTCAATATGTTTGAAAGCGTTATAGAAGCTGTTTGTGTATATTTCACAGCTTAGAAAATCTATTCCATGTGGCAGCATATATTCAGGGAGGGGGGGGGATAACATTTTGTCTTCAGAAAGGGGAACCTATGAAAGAAACAGCATATTGAGTGGGCGGGGAAATATTTTGGGCTACAAAAGGGGAGGCATGGGAAAGGACCAACCCATGTGTTGAAGAAATAGGATACATAATAAAACTGAACAGAGTCTTGAACAGGATCATAATGCAGACTTCTATCAGACTTATGGGAAAGACAGGCTAAACTGGGGTTGGGACATAACACATGTTGAAGAAATATGATACATAATAAAACTGAACAGAGTCTTGAACAGGTTCATAATGCAGACTTCTATCAGACTTATGGGGAAGACAGGCTAAACTGGGGTTGGGACATATAACACATGTTGAAGAAATATGATATCCTACTTAAACTGAACAGGGTCTTGTATTTAAGACTGCTCCTGACGATGGAGGGGTGCTTGAAGAAAGGGATGGGGAGAGGAATGCTCAAATATTTTAATGGTTATTTCTCAAGTTACAAATATTTGGTGAAATTTGATATTTTTTTCCAAATACATAGAGTCTGAGGAAGTCGGCCCGGGGTCTTAGACTACATTTAAGACTCCTAGGTTCTATTCGGGATGAACTTGAGGGAGTGTTTAGGTATAAATAGAGTTATTAAGGGCATTTTTCATGAACTTGAGGGGGCGTTCAGGTATAAATAGAGTTATTAAGGGCATTGTTCATGAACCTGAGGGGGCGTTCAGGTACAAATAGAGTTATTAAGGGTTTTGTTCATGAACCTGAAGGGGCATTCAGGTATAAATAGAATTATTAAAGGGATTTTTCATGAACCTGAGGGGGTGTTCATGTATAGAGTTATTAAAGGGATTTTTCATGAACCTGATAGGTTGTTCAGGTATAAATAGAGTTTTTAAAGGAATTGTTCATGAACCTGAGGGGGTGTTCAGGTATAAATAGAGTTATTAAAGGAATTGTTCATGAACCTGAGGGGGTGTTCAGGTATAAATAGAGTTATTACAGGGATTGTTCATGAACCTGAGGGAGTGTTCAGGTATAAATAGAGTTATTAAAGGGATTGTTCATGAACCTGAGGGTATATTCAGATACACTCCAATTAAACCCAAAATATATTTTACAGGGCCACGTTTGAGGATAAATTCTGCTCTCTGATATTGTGTTTGTTAAAACATGGTTCAATGTGGAGGTAAACTAATTAATTAATATTTCTGTCAGATTCATGATATTTAATACATTAATTCACACAAAGTATTTATTGACTACTCTACAAAAATTAATGATTCTTACATTCATTGTTCCTTGTTGTGCAGCTGTAAACTTGTTAAATCACTTATTAAATGCATATAAATTATACAATTATTATTTACAATAAATCCTCAGAACTTTAATTTTTAAAGAATTTGTAGGTTTTTGTTAAAATCTCATTTGGTTAACTTTTTATCTGATTTCAATGATGTATTGATTTATTGATTGATTGCTGTATTTACTGTGTGCTTGAAGGACCTCTAAGTAGTCTTGAACAACGACCTCTATCAGACTTGGGGGGAAACAGCAGAAACTGGGGTTGGGACATATGGAGGGGTGCTTGAAGAAAGGGATGGGGAGAGGAATGCTCAAATATTTTAATGGTTTTTGCTCATATTCCATATATTTGGTGAAATTTGATATTTTTTTCCAAAAACAGAGGGTCGGAGGAGGTCGGCCCGGCGCCTAAGACTAGGTTCCCGACTCTAAGATTCTACTCGGGAATATTCCAACTGAAATTGCATTTTACCGCAGAGCTAGAAATATATTTTCATATTATTTTTCCTAAGCTGAAGCTGAAGAAATCTAAAGGTTTGAACAATAGTCCAGGAGTTCCTGCTCCTCTCCACTTCGCTTTTAGAGCTTAGAAGAGAGATCTGTCTCATCTTCTCATTGAGCGGAGAAACAGCTAGTTGGGGCTGAGCAGAAGCTTGATCAGGATTCTCTCCAGGTTCAAGATGATCTTCAGAATCATGATTATCATCAGACACAACTTCATACTCAGATACACCAAACACCCTGTAATCAATATATTCTCAGATACACCAAACACCCTGTAGTCAAAATAATCTCAGAAACACCAAACACCCTGTAATAAATTAAATCTCAGATACACCAAACACCCTATACTCATTACTCAATTAAGAATAATGAATATTAAACCTGAACCTGATATATATACCTATAAATCGACATACAACATGTAAAATATGTGCTAAGATGACCAATAATGTAATGGCTAGCTACTAGCGCGCCGGTCAGAATGTTGCAATGTCTACTTTGACCTCGGAAATTAATTCCTTCTCCCAGTTTTGCTATAATTTGAGTTTAGCACATAAAACTCTAAGACATTTTCTTTTATTGCGCGCGCGCGGACATTAAAGGCTTTTGTGGTGAATTTTTTGAGCGCAAATTTGTTTAAAGAGTGTAAGGACAAATTTTCAAGTGCAAATAATGAAGTTAAGATTGATATACTGTCAAAAAAATCATATTATTTTACTAAAAACGCACAGGCGCGCTGCACTTTTGCTCAAATTCGTTCAAACCCTAAAAATGCATGTTATACACACATTTTCTAAGTTCGCATTCAATAATCAGCCACCTACGACAATGCTAAGTTATGTTTATACACTGTTTAGATTTCCCGGAGAGTAATAAGTTTCGTGCCCCCCCCCCCCCTTTACCCAGAGTAGAATAAACTAATAATGAATATTAAGCCTGAACCTGATTTATATAAACCTCTAGAAAAAACTAATAATTAATTTTAAACCTGAGCCTGATATATATAATTATAAACCTCTAACCTAGAGTAGAATATCCTAAATATCTAACCTGAACCTGATATATATAAACCTCTGCCAAGAGTAGAATATCCTAAATATCTAACCTGAGCCTGATATATATAATTATAAACCTCTAACCTAGAGTAGAATATCCTAAATATCGAACCTGAACCTGATATATGTAAACCTCTACCTAGAGTATTATATCCTAAATATCGAACCTGAACCTGATATATATAAACCACTAACCTAGAGTAGAATATCCTAAATATCTAACCTGAGCCTGATATATATAATTATAAACCACTAACCTAGAGTATTATATCCTAAATATCGAACCTGAACCTGATATATGTAAACCTCTACCTAGAGTAGAATATCCTAAATATCGAACCTGAACCTGATATATATAAACCTCTACCTAGAGTATTATATCCTAAATATCGAACCTGGGCCTGATATGTATATAACCTCTACCTAGAGTAGAATATCCTAAATATCGAACCTGAACCTGATATATAAACCTCTACCTAGAGTAGAATATCCTAAATATCGAACCTGAACCTGATATATTTAAACTTCTACCTAGAGTAAAATATCCTAAATATCTAACCTGAACCTGATATATATAAACCGCTACCTAGAGTAGAATATCCTAAATATCGAACCTGAACCTGATATATATATATATAACCTCTACCTAGAGTAGAATATCCTAAATATCGAACCTAAACCTGATAAATATATAACCTCTACCTAGAGTGGAATATCCTAAATATCGAACCTGAACCTGATATATATATAACCTCTACCTAGAGTAGAATATCCTAAATATCGAACCTGAACCTGATATATATAACCTCTACCTAGAGTAGAATATCCTAAATATCGAACCTGAACCTGATATATAAACCTCTACCTAGAGTAGAATATCCTAAATATCGAACCTGAACCTGATATATATATAACCTCTACCTAGAGTAGAATATCCTAAATATCGAACCTGAAAGACGTGAGAGTGCAGTAATGTTCATCTCCGTAGTTAGATCTAATGTTTACTTTCACAAATTTTCCGAAAACATTTTTTTCCGGATTCTCAAATATTTCCACAGTTTTCTTCTCCCCTTTCGAGGTGAAATTCCCGAGTTCGGTCCAATCCTTTGAATTCGGTGAGTATTTATGGGCAACACTGATGGAAAACATTTCCGGGGTTCCTGCATACAGTTCATGATTTTCGAGTTCGAACCTCGTCACTTTTATGGTTTCACAAAGCTCGATCACAAACCAAACTTTTTTAGAACATTCGTTTAACATATATTCGTCGTTACTTCGAGTTATTAAGAGCGGGGCATTTTTTAAATTTTCACTTGATTTCACTAAACACAAAAGATAAAATGAAATTTATCAAGATTTTAAAATTCAAAATTCAAAAGGATAACATTACAAAATAAAAACATCTTGTAAAAAAAGTTGTTTTATGTTTCGCAACAATTTTCTTTGAATCCTGCTAATCTAATACTTATGCAGGTCCATGTTAAAATCAATTCTTTACAATAGAAAGTCCTTCTTTCTCCGTGGAAATCAATGGAAATATCAATGGAAATATCAATGGAAATATCAATGGAAATAAATAGAAATCAATGGAAACTTTTACGTCTCGGGAATTAAATTTACCAATTTCAATCTGAGAGTAAAAAGATACGTTTAATTTAATTCATTTAATCTTTCCTAATTTAGAACCACACTCAGGACTAGCGAAATTCTTAGTCCACTCTTTCTCCGGGTTCCTTGGAAACTCCAGGAACTCCTCATCTCCAGGTATCTGGGTCTCCAGGGTTACCGAACAGGTTCTTGTGCTCAGCATTAGCTCTCGATAGAACTCCAGGTACCCGGTAGAGCAGAGAGCGGATACACTCCGTCCTGCATCTTTGCTTCGTCCTAAGGTTGCTCTGTGGTGCTCCCTGACCCGTTCCCCCTTCTGTAGGAGGTATTTGTAGGTGATATTCTCGCAGTAAAACTCCAGGGGCTCGGCACAGGAGAGAGATAGGAGAAGAAAAAACAGCTTCATACTCTAGTTTACATTTTATCCAGGGTTAGGATATTACATGAGCTATCTGAAAACATTCACTTACATATTTTTAACAATTTGCAGTTCACAAAAAGCGGCGCGTAGATCTATTTTTTCAATTCTAATCAAAAAGTTTGAGAAAAGATAATTATTCCGGTTACATATTAGAAGTTCAAAACATTTTTGTTCTTCTGTATAGCTCTTGAATAAGAGGAGTGTTGAAAGAAAACATAGAAGATTTCAATCTTACGTGTAATTTACTTCTGTTAAAAGTGAGGGATCCGTCCAAGTATACGAATATGCCTTCCCCCCACTGCCCTCCTGTCAATTTTGTACATGACAACTTATTTTTGAGCAAATCTATTATTATTTTTTTTTATTATTTAGGGTTAGGTTAAGACACTTTCTGGGCCGAGCGCTGCGGCTAGGACAGGCTAGGGGACCGAGCGCTGCGGCCACATGTCTTAAAGAAGTGAGGAATGTGATTGCTATTCAAGGAGATCAAGCTATTTTTGAACATCTGCTGCGATCATATTATATACATTCGACAAATTTCCCGATTTAAATGTTTACGTTAGATTTGGTTTAGCATAGTAATGTAAAATATATTTTATAAATTCATGGTTAAACTTGTTCTTTATTATAAATATTTGTTTAACTGTTTGTTTTTCACAAAAATATTTGACTCCAACTATTTACTTTTATTAAACGTAAATATTGCAGTGTACTGTGTGTACTGTGTACACTGTTGAGCTGAGGGACTGGACTGGAGGAACTAGAGAGTAGAGACAGGTTAGCTAGCTCTAACCAAAACAAGAGATGAAGTACCGACCCGCCCGAGTTGACGGACCCTACCAGTCTGCAGCAGACTAGCTTCAATACTAACAGCTTCAATTCATATTCTGAATCAGCCGTGTCTGTACATTTTAGTTTTACACGACCAGCAAGTCTTATATTCGTCTTATTTACATTGCAATATATCTATCTATCATTTTGTGCTTCGTTTTGTGAATATAATTTATATCGAATTATATTGTCCACAAACATGAACGTTTTTTTCTCTTCAGAATCTGCTCTGGAAGCTGACTCTGGATTTAGGTGTTGTTCATCCGATTTTTGAAAACGGCTCTCATATAAGCGATAGTAGTTACGCGGACGATGTCTCCATACTTGTAAACGGCGAACCTGAAAATATTGTGAATGTTAAAAATATACTGGATGATTTTGGTAAACTATCTGGCCTAAAAATTAACGTAGAGAAAACTCAGGTTTTACCAATTAATGTTTCACCTAATTTTGCTGAAAACATTGCTGTAACTAGCTTTTCAATTGTGAAAAATTTAACAATCCTTGGGTTGGATATCAGTGAAAATTTTCATTTGGAGGAAACTAATTTTAACAAGCTCATGATGAAAATTAGGGGAATGTCGTTATTCTGGACAAAATTTAAACTCTCAATTGTCGGTCGGATTAATATCGCAAAAACATATCTCCTGTCACAAATCGGGTTTTTTGCTCCTGTAATCCCATTTAGTAAGACTCAATTGCAAACCCTCAGAAATGAGATTGGCTCTTTTGTGCGAGGGAGTTTGAAAATAACAATAAACATGGTTTATAACGCAATACATAAAGGAGGCTTAGGAATGATTGAGATTGAATCTTACATAAACGCGATCAGGGTTGGGTTTTTTAGGAAATCAATCAATAATGACGATTTTTGGGCAAAAGAAATTCAGAGTTTTAGAATATCTGAAGATTTCCCGTTTCATTTTAAAAGTTCAATATCAACGAACACTCCTTGTGGAGAATTATCAGTTTGCGTTAGGACATTTTGTAACGTTTTCTGGTCGACGAATGGTAATTTTCTTGATATGAGAATATTTGATAATGACATAGGAAGATTGGAGTCTGGTGAGAAATTAAATAGAAATCATTTTAGAGAAAATCTTACTTATGTTTCGTGGGACACCCTGTATAGATATAATTAAATCCCTTTTTACTCTTTTACTATTCTAACAAGAAGAAAATATAGTTATATGTTTCGTGGGACACCCTGTATAGATATAATAAAATCCCTTTTTACTCTTTTACTATTCTACCAAGAAGAAAATATAATTATATGTTTCGTGGGACACCCTGTATAGATATAATTAAATCCTTTTTTACTCTTTTACTATTCTAACAAGAAGAAAATATAGTTATATGTTTGAAAAAATCTGATGTTTTATTCTATTCACACTCGTGTCAAGAATTAAACACTTTCTACAAATTCCAATAGATCGTTAATGCAAGCTCCAGATTTAACAGAGGCGCAACTAGCACTTTTGCCAGGGGGGGGGGCAAAATATTATTTTGTAATGGTCTGAGGGTTTTCAAAATAAAAGTACTTTTTTTTTAAGGGTTTGATGTCGAAAAAAAGAAAATGTTCAGTTGTTCAATTCAAATCGTTTTTTTCTTTTTTAAAATTTATACTTTCAACAAATGTATAATTAACGATATGAGTCAATTAATTCTTTTCATTTGTGCGCGGAGCGTCAAAGAAAATTTGTTAACTACCTTGTTTAATTGCAGATATAATTACAAGAAATAATCATATACATATTCTGAAAAAAAAATTATGAATACATATATAATTTTAAGCATCTACATTGAAAAAGGACAGATAATGTTACGTTTTCTCCTGAAGTTATTGAATTTATGATTGATCAATGATCATTCTAACCAACATTCATAATCTTATTTTATTTTCGATTTTATAGAAGATCTTTCAAAGAAGATAAACAGGTTACAGTTATCAAATATGATAATCAGTTAGAAGTTTGCCAGGTTCAGTCTCAGAATTTTCTCTTGATTTGGAACTGATTTTTTGCCACAAACTCAAATTTTCTAATCCCTAAATCTTTGCACCGAGTGGTGTAAACCTTTGATATTTCAAACTTTGAATATTTTACCAAAATAATTCAAAGTTTGAATACAGTTCGGAACTTTTTTACAATAAATGTTTACAATAGCCTTTAGCCTTGAGAATTCAGAAAGATGAATTTTTTTTTTAACTAACCATAGAAGAATACAATTTCTACAACAACTCTTTTGGTTTTATTATTTTTGACTCCTGTGATAATGATATTCGCCAATCTTTCTTCTCATTCTGCAGGGGGGGGCCCCCTCTCAGGTGCTAGGGGGGGGGGCGCGCGCCCGGTCGCCCCCTAGTTGCGCCTCTGAGATTTAACACATATATAAACATTGAAATAATAGACACTATCAGGTTTCAGAGATATGGACGTCATGGTAAAAAAGAGTTTGTGGCGAGTATTCTGCTCATTTTTATCTATGAGAAACTAGAGTTTTTTTACTGAAACCAAATTTAAATTCTTTTATAATTCTAAATATTTTCCGACATTCGATAGATTATCAGACTTTTTGCTATATCTTTTACTCTTTAACACTTCGATTAGCATTTTTTTTTTTTTAATAGATAAATTCATATATGCAGATTACTGTTCTTAAAGGGAATGTTGTGGTTATATTTCAGTGCCATATTTCTGAACAAGAACGGTAGCCTTTAAACCTTGTCTCAGGCCCGTAGCTAGGATTTTATCAAGGGGGGTGTGCAAAGAGGGGTGTTATTGTATGGGCCCAGGATCACTGAGATGAATCGTAGTTAACGAGGCGGGAGGGTTCCAAGGTGGGCAAGAGCCCCCCTCCTATAGAGTTTTTTTCTTATAGTTTGGTATGAAAGCTAGCAATTTTAGCTTGCATTTTATGTTATGTGAAATATTTTCTAATTTGTCAACAACATAAATAACTTTTGCTTGAACTTAATGAAAATTCGATTTTTCCTGATTTTGATGTTTTGTATGGTACACTTAAAATTTTCATAATTTAGTTTTAATCTCAAATTTTTTAATACTGTATGACACAAGATGTTGATAATTTGATATAACTATTCACTGGACAAAATATTGATACCAAAGCAATTTTTTCTGCAAAACTTAAGGAATTGATTTTTTGATTCATACTGGAAAATATTATTTATTAATTTGTTACATTGTATCATGTATGCATGTTTTTCAACTTATGCGAATCTACAACAAACCAGTTCGATCAGAAATCTTACCTCAGGACAAATATTTTTCCAAAAAGGTTTTGTTTGGTTGGTCTGAGGGAACAGCTTTCTTTTGTTTCAGAACCTATATACAGGGTGTTTCTCTACAACTGATATTTTTGATTTGCTAAAATTTCTTTGAGAAATGCGCAAAATTGGGTTAAAAAATCCAGGAAATTGAACAGCTTGAAGGGACATTTTATATACTGGTTGAAAAAAATGGCTTCAGTCAGAATTGATGGGTCAAATAGCCCTTTTACTGAAGAGGAGAAAATCTGGATTAACCTGAGATATGGAAAACTTCGAAATGAGCTTCAGGTTTACCAAGCTATCAGATTACAGTTATTGCTCAACCTGCTACTGATGAAGAGCTTAAAATGAGTCTGGAAGAGTTTTCTGTTTCCCTGCAGCAGCCTGCAGAAATCAGAAAGTGTGTCAGCCACATGAGAGATCGCGCCAGAGACTGTATATCTCTAAATGGAGCCTTTTCGAGTCACAGCAAAACCAACTTTTTGCTTAAAACGTAAATGTTCCAATCTAGTTTAACTAATTTTACATTTATTGCAAGCTTATCAGGTCGTTTTAATTAAAATATAAGCAAATCAAAAATATCAGTTGTAGAGGAACACCCTGGAGTATATGCACCATCAAAATGATAACAATTTTTTAAAGAGAAGATTATACCAAGCAACTTTTTTAAAGGGGGGGGGAAATTCGCTGTTGCATCCTCATCTTAGGAGAAAATGGGGGGTCACTTGACCTCTTGTACCCCCTGGCTACGGGCCTGCATTATCTGGTCAAGGAGAATGAGTTTTCCCTTAATATTCTAGCTGAAAATTGATTATTTTTCAATTGTAGTTTCGCTGTTTAAGGGACCTGCGGAAATATGCAGCATAGACAATATTGTCAGAATGTAAAACTTTTCAAGATAAAAACACGACGATATCTTCCCCACTGTTGCTCATATCAAGGTT